TTTGCCTGAAGTTTGCGGATGATGTCCATCGTGACAGGGTCTTCCTGATAGGCTCCCACCAATGATTGAGTTACTTCATTAGATACGCCAAATTCAGAAACTAGCACACCTAGGTAGTCTGCTCTACGGGATAGCGCATCCGCAACCTTGTTGTACTCTCCCTTCAGATACACAAGCTTGAAGTCATATTGGTCTATGACCTCAATCCATCGCTTGCTTGAGTGCATCAGAAAGAGCCGGTTGAGTCTTGATCCATTTGAGGGTCTGATGATCAGTCCCCATATAGAAGAACCTTCCTAGAAGGAAGTGTCTCCAATGGACAAGTGCCTTGTAGAGAGCATAGAGTTCCCTTTCGTAGGTGGACTTAGCCAACTTCTTCGATGGCGTCTTCTTACTCATGTACTCAATCGGTCTCAACTTTTTCCCATCCTGCTGAGCCAGCACTGCGCCAATGACATATTGGCTTGCGTCAGTGGTCACTATGAATTGCTTTTGTGGATCGGGAACCATGAGAACTTCATGATTCATGAGTGCATGCTTCAATCTCTTGAAAGCACCCTCGCACTCATCACTCCAGTCCCACGGTGTGTCAAGTCGAGTTAGATCAGTCAAAGGTGAGGCGACTGTAGAACAGTTCTTGACGAAGTTCCTATAGTAGCCGCACATTCCTAAGAATGATCTGACCTCAGTGACTGTCTGAGGTCGTGGCCAGTCTCGAATACTAGCCACCTTCGCATCTTCCGGCCTAATTCCCTCCGCGAATACTTCATGACCCAAGTATAGTATCTTAGTGCGACCGAATTCACACTTCTCTAAGTTGACCTTATACTTGTACCGTCTCAACATGTTGTGCATGCTCCTCGGCAGACTTACTAAAGATCAGAATGTCATCTAGGTAGACCACGACAAACTTATCTAAATGGTCATGGAAGATCCGATTCATAGCATAATGGAACGTTCCCGGCGCATTGCAAAGAGCGAAAGGCATCACTACAAACTCATACAGACCATATCTAGTCTGAAAAGTTGTCTTGTGTTGATCCTCAGGTCTTATTGCGATCTGGTGATATCTGGATTTCAAGTCTATCTTTGTATAGTACTTGCATCCCTGCACCCTATCCAATAGGTCGTCTATGCGAGGTAGAGGCTCTGCGTTTTTCACAGTGATGGCATTGAGGCCTCTATAGTCAATGCACATCCTCAAAGTACCCCCCTTCTTCGGCACGAATAGAACGGGTGATCCGTAAGAGGAAGTACTAGGCCGAATCCAACCCTTCTCTGTCAGCTCCTTTAGTTGCTTCTGAAGTTCATCTAACTCGGCCGGGGCCATCCTATAGATCCTTCCCTTTGGGGTCTTACTCCCTGGAATGATTTCTATAGCGTGGACGACTTCCCTATCAACAACACCTGAGAGCTCCTCGAACAGATCAGGGAACTTAGCAACGACGCGTTCTATCTCTGGGGGTGTTTTAACGGCCTCCCCCTTCTCAGAGACATAAACAAGGTACATACCCTCCTCTTGGTTTTGCTTGTAATAGTTATAGAATGCTGATGCGCACAAGCAGCCATAGGTATCTACAATACTACTGGCCTTGAACTTAGTCAATCTAACAGTTCGGCCATCGGGCAACTTGTATTTGAGCACCTTCTTATCCCACTCGAACTGGGGCTCAACAACTTCGAGGTAGTACATGCCTAACAACATACTGAATGGCAAGTCGTCGCTAACCAAGAACGAGATCTTATGGTTAAGCTCACCTCCTCCATAGGAGAAGGTACAGACTACGTCCTTGATGTAGTTTGTTACAATCACGCGCTCCTTGTTGGCCAAAGTAGATGCTACAGGTCTACTAAGGTGTCGTACCGAGGCCTGTAGGTGCAGCCTTTCCAAACAGTCGCGACTTATGTAATTCCGCGTGGAGCCATGAAGGCACTACATTTGCGGCCTCCTACATCGACTTCCACCACGAAATGTTCCCCTCTAGGACCTTTCCTCAGTGCCACCCAAGACTTGCAAGGGTCCTTGTTTGACCACTCACTCTCTGAGTCCTCTAAGGCTTCAGACACATCTAACGTACAGAGCATAGTTTGGTCTAGTTGTGTCTGCGGGGTGACTAAGGGGTCATTAGACTTGGCCTTGTCATGAAGTAGGGAGGGTATCAATCCTACTTCATCTTGAGTAGAAGCAGCTACTGCTTCCACTGGCCTCACGTGTTTCTCGAGCTAGAAGCCTGGGTATAAGTTGCCCCTACTTTTGGCGCAACCTTTTGCGTAACCTTAGCATTCTGACACTTCCACTGCGTGTGTCCGTATTCTCCGCAGTTGATACAAGCGCCACGCATTCGGCGGTCACGCCACACGTCTTGATCAAGACCTGCCTTTACCCACTCGGCCTGTTTGGTCTGATTGGAGGCGGCCTTCCCTTGACCCCTAGGCTGGCCCTTCCCTCGGCCTGCCGCCTTAGTCTTCACTACCGCGGCGAGGGTGCTATCCTCAGCTACCTCCTCGTCGTCATACTCTGAGTAGTCCATCAGATCAGAGAGCTCATCGATTTCAGTTTGAGTCCCATCAGACTCAACCATCATCAACTTCGCCCCCTTCTTCTTCTACTCCTGAGGACTCTTCTTCTTCTTTGAGTCATTCCCTGAGGTGGGTTGAGCATTGCCTAGCGTGGCCTCTAAGTCTAAGGCTTTTCTAGACAATGTCTCAAACGTGTGGTACTCGGTGCGTGCCTCACTGGCTAGCAAGTTCCTCATGTTCTCAGGAAGACATCTAACAAACGTAGTTAAGAGGAACTGGTCACTGTAGTTGATGCCTGGGACAAGGATCAGGCTCTCGACGGTAGTCGTAAGCTCTCTAACTGACCTGAACTTGCGTTGGTCCAGTTTGTTAATGGCATCCGTGGCCCTTTGCGCCTCCTGTGGATTATACCATCAAGCTTCTACCATTTCCATGAATTGGTCTAGAGTCAAAGACTTAGCCCAATCCGCCATGCACCGCCCATACCCGGCCTTCACAACTACACCATCTAACCATTTGGCTGCCTTACCCTCTAGGTAAGACGCCGCAGTTACCACTTCGTCCTCAGGCAAGGTCCTTTTGGCCTTCACCCAAACCCGGACTGTCCTCAACCATGTGTTGAGTTCTTCGTCCTTTCTCTTGCCTGAGAAGGCAAGAGGCGGTTTCATTGGGGTCTTGGGATACCATTGACCTTGCGACTGTCTAGATTGCTGAACAGGTTGTTGCGGTGGTGTAGCTCCTACCGCTGGACCCGAAGAAGAAGACGCAACAGTTTGTGCTGCTGCTGCAGACGTACCACTTGGTTGTGTGCCAGCTTGTACGACAAAGGGACCTGACATCGCCGTTAACGGCAACGGCGATTGTGCTGGTGGCCGGAATCCTGGCTTTGTCAATGCATCCAGGATCTGGTTCAAAGTGCTTTGCATGAAGTCCATCCTGCTGTCTACGTGCGCATGCAGTGACAACATGTTGTCCCTCGACACTTTCAAGGTGTCAGACAAACTCGATTCGTCCAATCCCTCTAACGCAGCCTTGTCAGCCTCTAACGTATCAAGTCAGGCCGCTCTACTTTTTTATCTCTTTTTCCCTATCGGTTGCTTTCTTCAGATCCTCCTCTAACTGTTGGCAGAGCCTCTCGACCTGTTGGATCTCTCTGAGCTCCCGCTCACGTGCCGCTCACGTGCGGTCATGGGGCTGAACTGCGAGCCTGCCATTTGACTAGAAGACTGTCTAGAACCTGTTGAACCGGAAGTGCTCGAGGAACTTGTGGAACTCAGTGGCATTCCCAAATGAGTCCCACTAGTCCCTGACAAGGACGCAGACGATGACGCAGCAGAGCTTGCGCCGTTAGCCATTGCTGCTGCTCTGGCTGCTGTTGCCTGCTCTCTAGCTGCTGCGTTTGCTGCGGCTATCCCCGCTGCTAGAGCACGGGCTCTACGTTCGGCACGAAGCCGTCTTTCTTCTCCCTCGTCTAAGGTCATGAACACGTGCGGAACCCTTAATGCTTCCGAACGTGTAAGTCTCCTATTGTCAGCTCTATCATCACCAGGATCTGACCCACTCATTAGTTAGGCAGATAGTGTCTACACTAGAATCCCGTAGTGGAATCCTACCGCAGCATGTATCTGACCGGCACAAAATTTTCTATATATAGTTGTGTCCGGCGAGTCCCCTACTATACCGAATCAAGTGGCATGTCTACAACATTCACACAGATTGTCTACATAGTCTAGATGCACCCAGACTGGTTCACTTACAGCAGCATTAGTTAGTACAGGCTATGGTAGCATACAACAGTCCTACACTAATCTGTCTGTGAGGTTAGCAATCCGTCAACCAACTAATCAAAGGTACAAAAAGACAATGTAGCAGATGTATGATTGATGGGTATGGTTGTGTATACAGTTGAGCACTAATTGGAACCTACCCTCCCCTCAATCCAACCATCCGAACAACATCATTGAGTAGGCAGTGTCTTCGTGTGTATTTCGGCCCACCCCTGTGCCCAAGTTGTCACCGAGCAAGCCAGCCCAACCACTCTTATTTACCCTCGTACGACGACGAGCCTTCCTGTCCATGTGATCTGGCTGATCAGGAGGAATTTATAGAGCGCCCCCATCTCTGCAGGAATTATTTAACGTCGCAGTCAGGACGACGATCTCAGCCAGATTCACAATGAACTCCCAACCAGAAATGTTTATAGACGGTCTGGTAAGCATCTGTCATGGGCTGGCACACCCGAATGAACTTCTATTAGCGCAGCAAGTGCCAAACAGGACAGCAGCCATCGCATGCGTGCACTACTCCCTGTGGGTTGGCATGGTGACCGTGACCCAAGTGCTTCGACCAGGGCCCTTCAGAGGCACCGCCCTTTCTCCTTCCAGATGCTTTCCGGGAAGATTGTCGTCTCTCAAGGTAGCGCGCTCACGACACCTCACCAAAAGAGAGGACTCTCAAGTTGGACTCACTTCCTCACGGTAAGAAGAGATTGAGAGAGTAGATAAGGTAAGGGATCAACATACCTGGAGATAGCTGCCCCCAACCACAGATTTCTCACCAATTGAGYTGATGTCGCATTTGATGACCGGTCATGACCTCGGTACCACCCACAACGCAATGCAGTGCCACCTTAGTCCAATGCCACATCAGCATGCTCTCATCACCAATCAAACATTCCGCTGTATCCCACGGGATACACTGCCGTAATACCCTTCCGGTGCACCCCTCTCTACCCAGGGCGTGCACCTAACGTGGCCTGACGTCACAAGTACCCACAGCGAAAAAGCATCATCAACGCACCAAGTCTGTACAACGCCAGCGTGCCAAAGGTAAGTGGCGATCAAACCAGCTCCGATACCAAATTGCAAGGAACATGAATATGGACGAAGCACAAGAATCCAGAATGCAAAATCATACTGAAGTCCAAGTAGTCAAAGCCAAAGCAGATAGCACATGGAACCGAGTAACCATCCAATTGAGAATGATACAGAAGAATCGTGAGTCAATGTCCATGCCCAACAGGGCAACACCAACAGCATAACCCAAATGTAGCTCTCTCTTGTGAATGGCGCCAGGCGCCCTATCTACTCTACAGCCTATCCTATAACTACAGCAATGAAAAGCAACCAGACAACTTGACTACCAGCGAGTGATGATGTCAACACCAATGCCAACCTCCACCTCCTCCAGGTACGTGTCCTCTTCCCCACACTCT